GACTCCTTTGGTCCGGCAGACTGCGCACCTGCATCTCCCTCTTGCCGGGCTGGGATCTCCCTTCATTGGTTTCCACCGCCCGTTGGCTGCTCACCTCATGAATACGGAGTAGCTGGCGGCGCGCTGCAGCTGAATTTTTTGGCCGTTCAGCTTGGCCCCAGCGCACTCGTGCGGGTGGCGCGGCCCGACTCACGCCCCCCGAGTGCCGCCCATCCCGCGCGGAGGGCTGCCGTGGCCGCATCAAAAAGTCCTCAAGGAGACTCCGGGCCCCCGGCAACACCGTGAAGGAAATCATTCAACCCCGCAACACGGCAAACTTCGCACGGTGGTCCCAATCAAAATCAAACAAATGGAATTCTCCCCCTTCCACGATGAAAACGCTTTCCGCGTGGGACGTAAGATTTGGTGCAGATGCCGGACGGAAATCAAATGAATACGCCGCTGGTACGTTGCGCCGCCCCCAAGCAGGGTGTGTGTGTGGTGGCCATCACTATTGGACGGCCTCCCCGTAAACGTGCGCCTCAACAACTCCGCCCTTTGTGCCGCCCTCGCGGAAACAAATTAAAACAGAAAAATGTTTCCAATTGGGACAGTTTCCGGCAAAATAATAATAATTCACAGCAACCTGCCACTCACCCCTCAAGTCCCCAAAAATCAAAATAATAATAATAATAATAATAATAATAATATATTTTGTTCCTTCCCAATTGAGCCCCCTCATGTCCACGCAGCGTTTCATCGTTCATTGCAGGCACCTCAGCGTGTTGTCGTCCCGCCCGCCTGTCTCTTCCTCCGCGCAGCGCACGGAGAGCCGTCAGTGCTGGCGTGTGTGGGCAGGAGATGCCGACAGCCATAAATGACGCCCGGCCCTCCCTGCAGAAGGTGGGCAAAGCAAGAAAAAAAAAACATAAAAAAGTAAAAAGAGCAAAACAAAAAACAAATGTTCCCGATGTTCCACCCAGCGGGGGAACCAGCCCATGACCGGGACGAAAAGCAAGATGATTCCACAACGGATTCACAATTAATTTAGCGGCGCACATGTTTTCCCTCTGCGTAGCGCAGCCCCTGACGTCGCCCGTCAGCAAAGCGCAGAGAAGTCCCACATTACAAGCAGCAGAAGCAGCGACAACAGCACCCCAGACAGACGCCCACGCACAGAACTGTCAGCCGCTTTGGTCTTCGCGTGGTGAGTGCTGGCTGCTCCCGACGACCCGCTCCTGCCGCCAGCTGATCCAGTCGCGCTGTGTTTGGTGCCCGTATGGTCCTGGGCAGGGAATGCAGCGGCCGTAGTCGGATGCTTCGTTTCCATCCTCTTCAGTGCCGCAATCTCACTGTCGTTGAAGCGGCGGCTGTACAGCAAGACGTTCGTCACGGTCACGTGGCTCTCTGCGTCTTCCCCATAGCCCCCAAAGTAGATGTCTGAGACTATTTCAGGTTGTATTTCTGGCAGAGACCGCTCACGACCAACTCCAGGGGAATGTGGAGCTTCCAAAGGAGATACGCCTTGATCCCCCAAACTCCCCACAAGCTGCCCGTCGACGTACGCCGAGCAGCCGCCTTTCTGCAACGTGAACGCCACTCGGTACGCCGTCCCCACCTCCCACGTAACTGCTGATGCATTCCCTTCCTCCCCACGCTTCGTCTTCCAGTGCCGACGCTCGTCGTACCACAGCCCGAGACGCTTCCCGTTGGGACTCATCATGCTCACGCCCAGCAACGAAGTGACGCCCGTTGGAACTTTGCTGATGGTCACTGTCGCCACAAGCGTCAGCTCCTCACCAACATAACTCCGCACTGGATTACTCTCCTGCCTGCCCATTGGCCACACAATCCGTGCGCCACGCCCTGCCAACCGGAAGCCATTCTCAACCTTCGTCGTTGTCCCCGTAGACACCGTGGCACCCAACCCAAGGCACTCGTCATTCCAGTGAGTATCGCTGGCATTGTTAGACAAAAATCCAATCAGCCCGGCCGTTGGCAGAGGGCCAACGCAGCCAGCTGCTTTTGTGCCGCCCTTCGTTGCAGTAGTGGTGGAGCTGCAAAGCGTTGAGACCCTGTCATCCACACCTTTCCAAGTATGCAGCAAGGACTTGATGTGCTGCAACTGCTCCGTGAGGGGCCTGAAAACAAGACTGTCTAGCCCTCCATGCTCACCTTTCTTCGAGTAGAGGGCAAACAACCCACCTTGAGTGTGCAGCAGCGAGGTGAAGGGATAAAATCCCGCATCATCAGCAGATATTGGCCCAACGTCAAAGATCCGAGCTCCATCAGAGAGCCAAAGGTTGATTACTTTGTGTGTGCTGCTTTGTTTGCCTGCGGCTGCCGCAGAACTACTGGAGAACAACTGCGTGTACAGCAGCACACTCCTCTTCTCAATGGTTGCAGTCATAAGGTCAACGGAACCGTAAAGCATAGGCGGTGCATCTGATTGGCTCAACAGGCGTGGAAGTGTCCCATAGGCCTCTGTCCACGTCTTCCCCTTGTCATTGGATTCGTACACCCTGCGCCGCCACGAGGTAGATTTTGAAGTGGCCATGAGGAGTTTCCCCTCCCACTCGAGAAGCGTGGCACTGTCACAGTCCTTACCAATCACAGGCACCGCAGGAAATTTCCAAGTGGCACCGTTGTCCTCGGAGTAGATGACGGTACAGGCATGTACGTCGTCGTCGTCAACTTCAATGTCTCCCACAATAGGAAAGACAATGGTATTGCCTGCAACTGCAACGCCTCTCGCCCCAGGAGTGAGGCCCACCGCATCCCATGTGTGCCCCTCCATCTGGCTTTCAAGCTCGGATTTCAATGATCGGGGTTTATCCCATGAAACCGCTTTCCCTTCATTTGTATCAGTGGCCTTCTGAACTTCACCAACAAACAACGCAAGTTCCAACTGCTCTTTACCCGACAAGTCATCGCCTTTTTGTCTCGGTGGTGCTTGTCACCAAAACAAATATTTTGTTGCTATTCACCACAGCTTTGGGGCCAAAAGGCGGGGCGTAGTCGACATCATCTCCCAATCGCTTGGCCACAAGCTGCGGCGTTCCCCACCTTCCTTCTTCCCATGTGGCGTCTTGGCCCAACCTACTGCCGTCTCCGTACACATATTGCCTTGCCCACATGCCAGCATTCATGTCGTCACGGCTGCTGCCGTATTCACCCACTGCAAGAGCAACCAGCACACCATTCACGTCAGCAAGCGAATGGCTGTAGAAGGAGAAATTTGTCGTTGTTTGACCTTCACTTTCTCCTTTCGCTGCGGGTACTGTTGTTTTCCCCGGCTTGAAGAGCTCAACCTCCTTCGACTCCTTCTGGCTCTTCTCGGCGTTGGCAGATTTACTGGTGCCACAGCATATCAACAGCACAAAAAGGAGCTGTAGCACCGCACAAAAAAACTCATGCCGGCGCATGCTGGGCCGCTGCTCTCTCTCTCTCCCTTCCCTCCTTGTGGTGGATCCGCTCAGGCCGCGACGGTTGTGTGTGTGTGGACGGTGACTGCAGAGCCTTCAAAGCGCACAGCAGTAAGAAACGTTTGGTCTCTTTCCTCCTTCCGCGTGTGTGGGTGTCAACAAAAAAAAGTGAAGCAGTGGAATAACAAAACGGTGGCGTGCCGGCGCGCAGACGGAAGATGGAGTTAAGAACAGCGCAATGCCGCACGGTGGCAGTCGCGACACCGGAGATCAGACAGCAGCGAGTACTGTCACCCGAGATGCAAAAAAAAAAAAAGATAAAACGCCGCTGGGGATGAAGAATGAGGAATTCCAACAGTTCCTCGAAAGAAGCAAAAAAAAAACAGAACAAAAAAAAACTTCAGCAGGTGTTTTTTACTTGACGCCCCCACCCCACCCCGCAGAACAAAACGACTGTATGTGTGTGTGTTTTTTTTATTTGCGGGGGACGAAAAAATAATAACAACAAAATGGCACTGCTGCACGATCCCACACGCACCCCGCATATTTCAAGCGGCATCCGACCTGCGCCCCAGCGCCCCCAACAAATACTGAAAGACCACAACCTCTTTGTGGTGACCGGGCCAAACCCGCACGTCCGTCGCCGAAGAAAGCAAGACACCACCCCATTCCTCACACAAGAAGCGCACCTCCTGCAGTGGGCAGAAGGCTGCCAGCACCATTTTTTTCCCCCCGGGGCACGCTCCAAACATTCCACAGCGCTCAGCAAGACAGAGGGACAGTACCAACCACAACTCCACCTGGCTGCTCTCCGAAGGCCTGCGGCGTGCGGGAAACCGCCGCCCGGTCGAGACGCGCAATGCGCCGTAGAGTGGCGTTGGACCCAAAGACGCAGCCCTCCTTCTGTCAGCAGAGCAGGGAAGCGGCCGCACAGACTGAAATTGCAACGGCAACACCTCTGCTGCCTCGTTCTCACTGTCTCTCTCGCACGCTTTCCGCGCAATAGACACGTTGGCGAAATCCAACACCACCACAATCTTATGCATGCACGCGTGCCCAGGTGTTCACGCCTCCCCACAGCGTGAGTGGCATGGCGTGCGTGTGAGTGTGTTAGCGTTGGTACTTACAGAGTGGCCACGCGGCACGAGAGAAAGACCAACAAAGAAGAGGAGGAGCTACGAGATGTAATAAGACGGCAGAGGAGCGTCAACAGCAAAAAAAGAAAAAATAAGACCAACGGGCCTGCATCAGTGTGCGTGTATGCATGAGCACATTACGTGTGTGCCTCAGTGGGGTGGGGCGAGGGCGACAGTCCGTGCGGGAGGACACACACAAAAAGAGAGAAATGACAGAGGCGGACGAGCTGCGCATGTCTCCCTCACGCGGCCGCCATCGCAGCAGCCGCCGCACACGCAAAAAGAAGAGGAAGAAACGCAAAAAGGGAGGTGGAGTGCGAGGCCGCGGTGCCGCTGTCACTGTTGCCAAAGGTCGCCTTCGTCGCATTAGTAGAGCTGATGGTGGCTGGCGGTGTTGCCGAGCCCGCAGCCGGCTTGGCGGTTTGTTCGTCCTTCCCACCACTCACTCCCGGTTGCTTGTGAGAGGTGGGCACTGCGGTGTGCCCCTGCTCAGCCTTTCTTGCCTCAGAATTTCCTTCGCTGCCATCAGCTGGCTGTTGCTCTTGTGGGCCTGGCGCTGGCGCTGGTGGCAGCAGCGGTGGTGGTGGTGGTGGTGGTGGTGGTGGCGGCGGGCGTCCAGACTGCTCACCGCCACCGCTGTTGGGCTTATCAACGGGAACACTCACTGACGGCACTGGCGCTGGCGCTGGCTCCTCCACAGGGGCAGCAGGGGCTGTTCTCTTCCACACCTTCTCTTCGCCGTCCCATTCGGCTGCTGGGCTAACGCTGCT